CCCTGATCCCTCCTCCTGCCCTTCCCGCCCTGGCCATTGAGCATGCGTGCGACCGCGCGCGAGCGACCCGTCCGGCTTTCATTGCGCGCGCGCGGGAGCCACCTTTCAGGCCTTCCAGTGAGCATCATCAGCATCATTGCGTGCGGGCGGCGGCACCAATTTGAGGCCTTCCGGTACCCCTCCCGACCTCCGAAAGCATTGGCCTGCGCCTGCTGGGCCGGCTCATGATGCTCGCCGCGTGCCGCCCAGGTTTCGCCCGCGGCTGCCCCAAAACACGCCATACCATGGGGAATGGCCGCAAAACGTGTGCGTTGCCGGGTCGCCCGATGGGCCTTTTCCACGTGCAACTCGCACCCATCTCTTCCCATACAGCCCCCCCACCCCTGCTCCCCCCTCCCCTCCCTACCCGCCCCCTACCCCTCGCCCCCCTCCCGCCCGCTCGCGAAGCTGGAGCCGCGAGACGGCCCTGAAGACCAGGGCAGCATCGGTGAGGGATGGAGCTTCTCGGTGGTACAACATCAACAGACAGCAGCTGCACTCCGACTCAACAGCAGCTCGAGGCCAAGCCAGGCTAATTAGCTGAAAAACAGCATATTAGATTAAAGCTGCCGCTTTTGCAAGGGGTCAAGAGGGGTCAAGAGTCAACAGGGGATGCAAATCCGCATGGAACGGATCTGCTTGCGCAGAGTGAAAGTCACGATCTGGCTCAGTCTCCCTTCAAGCAGTGCCGGTACAGAGTTCAACGCGTTTGGCCCCCAGTATGGCACAAAAACCTCACAGAAATAATAAGTTTTTCAAGTCCAAGAATTCGAAACGTCAAGCCTGTCTGAAGGGGAGCACTCTTGATTGTGGTCAAAGCCAAAACTGCCAGGCACACTGCAATGGGGATGTGACGGTACTTTAACTTTGGACATTCACAGGCAAGCAACCTGAAAGCCTATTCAAATCCGCCGACCCCGCTTGGTGAAGCCCTTGCTTTCCCCTTCCTGCCGCCATCCCCTGTTTCCGCCCCCTCACCCCCACCCCCTCCCGACCCCTCCCTTCCCTCCCCCCCCCTCACAATCGCCCACCCCTTCCCCGCCCCCTCCCCTTCCACGCCAGATCTGTCAATCTCAGATTCCCCAACCCCACCTGATCCGGAGATGCCCGACCTTCTGCCTCCCCACTCCCTTTAGAAACAAGGGTCCCATGATGCAGGGCCATGGCCTGCGGCAGCAACTCCAGGCCGTTGCCCGATTTAAGGGCTACGCCGCTGCCGCCGACCCTGCACAGATTCGTGGAAGATCATTGGGTTAGTGGGGGCTCTGAATACACGCCAAAAGAACAAACGTTTCGTGCTTCCAGCTGGGGTGGGGAAGGGAAACGGTGGGGGGGGGGGTCAGGCGCGTATAAATGTCATGTCTAGAACGCTGCAAAAACAAACATTTCGTGCTTTGAGCTGGTGTGACGAGGGTCGACTGTCCTAGTTGCGCTCCGCCCTCCCTCTTTCTACGCACAGTCCCGAACCGTTCCGAGCGCGCGACCATATCGGAAACAGTCAAATTGTGCTGCAGAAAGCTTTCCTTCAACCAGGTCTTAGAGTGATTGACCAAAATTGGAGCACTTCGACCGAGTATCAGGTAGGACAGCCAATCTGCAAGATGATTGGTAGTCCTCCGACATAGTTGTCATCAAATGCTTTCTGTCGAAGACGTGTCATCCCTTTTGCCGAGAAAGCATACGGCTGGCAACGACATGGGCCACCTCTCACGCCTCTCCATGAAGTATTGTAGAAAGACTGTGCAAAGTCATGTTCGAGATGCACGAGGCAGTAAGGAACTCTGCAGCAAACCAGCAGATGCCCCAGGACAAGCCGTATCTTCCCGCGGAAACTTTGAGAACCTGCCGATGGACGATAGAAATTAAGCTTGCTCTGTTGAAAGGAAGGGGTGCAGCTCTGCAAGTAAAGGCGCCGGAAAGCTGCCACGAAAGAAATTCGCTTTGACATCCAAGAAGCATAACTGTTCAGCTGCCTGTTCGGCCCCTCGCGCAGCGTCTCATCCGGCTGTTCTTAACCTCTTTTGGCTTTTTGATTTACATTTGATTGGCTTGTGTTTAATTTCACAACCGGGTTTTCAGGCCTACCTTAGAAAAGCCAGTGTTCCTCTGTCATCTTTGCTGTTCCGCTTGATCTCCCACCCAGGTCAGTCCTCAGCCGTGGCCGCAGCGGTGATGTACATCGCTTCAGCTGTACATACTTAGTATGATAGGGGGTGTGCTCGATTAGGTCAGATGCCGGGGATAACGGCAACCCGTTCGCGGGGGTTTCCCTGTTCGCGGCAAGCCCGCTGTGGCCTGAGCACATCCATCATGAATCATGGCTGTTGTGTTGCCGTTGGACAGCAGGCAAAGTAAAAGTGCCCGTTAAAGGTTGCAGTCGTCGGGGACTGCTTTGACTGGTTGGCTGCCAAGCTGTGCCGCTTTGCATTTGAAAGCCAGCTACCACTCTGCGTGTGTCCTCAGGTGGGGCCTCTTCAGGCGGGGAGAAAAGCTTACTTCACGTCCGCGTAAGCCTTTCCCTGCAAGGTGGCCTGTTTAGCTCTCTCTCCTCCACTGGCCTGAGTCCAACGATCTTGGCTTGGGCCACTTGCCACATGCTGCAAGCCGACAAGTGCGAGGTTCTGTCGCTTCCAGCAGTGGGTTATTTTCAGCCACTGCAGCCAGCAGTGGATCTTCGTCTGAGCCTTGAGTCTTTGTCCGACGCGTTTCCGAAGGAATGATTTATGCTGTTCTGTCACGGGCATGGCAGGTTCAGCTCTTCCAGCACTTCAGCCGGTTCTGGTCTTTTTGGTGGTGGGCTATTCGCTTCGCATGCACCTCGGTCTCAGCTTCCATGCCCCTGGGCTTCATGTTTCCATTGGCTGGAGGGCCAACACTGCCGGTGGCTTGTTCAGCGGCCGGGATCTCGAGTTACCTTCGAATCTCAAGTTGGCGATGCAACTTGGGAATCCGTGCGAATCCTGCACAACCAGAGGAATGTCGTTCGGCTCGAACAAGGTGGGGACCCTTGTCAGTTCAATTCACAGAGCAGCACAGACGTGGGCTGCAGCAGTTCTGCGGTTGCCTTGCTGCAATCTGAAGGCAGACTCACCCGAGACTCAGGCTCAGGTTCCACACTAAGCTGCCAGATCTGCCAGATTCAATCCGCTTCTTGAGTGGCCCTTTGTAAGCCGGAGCATTTGTAGCATGCCTGTCTGAGCTTAGCCGAGAAAATATCCACGGTTTCATGTCTGCACAGGACGCAAGTAGGAGCATCTCGAATATGCGTCCACAAAGGGCCGCAAAGTCTCGAGAGATGCAGCTGAGGTGATCGATGCTAGGTTCGAACTGCATGAGCAATGCATCCCGCAAGCGCGCGCTGCCTGCACCACTGCGCATCGCAGTTGTCAAAGGGGTTTCCCGTGCCGGGCTCCCCCTTGCACTCGTCCTAGCAGATCGAGGACATCATGTCGTGTTAGTTGATGAAGATAAACATATCGATGGCCTTCGGAAGGGGCAACTTCCGTTTCTGGAAGCTGGTGGACCAGAAATGTTGGCACGGTGCCTGGAGGATTCCGAGTGCCTGAAGATGACTTCCAAAATGTCTTCAATACAGGGCTGCGCAGTGGTGATCCTGACGGTGGGCACTCCTGTAGATGAACGACTCACTCCAGACTGTTCGTTGATTGATGAGGCTGTTGGGGCTGTTAAGCCTTTCCTGAAAGGAGGGGAGACCCTGGTACTGCGATCTTCAGTTTTCCCTGGTACTTCCGAACGCATTCAGCACAGCCTACACTCCTGCCCAGAAGTCGGAGTAGGCTTTTGCCCCGAGCGGCTTGCAGCCAGTCAGGCAATCCAAGAATTAAGCCAGGTCCCGCAAATTGTATCAGCGTCATCTGCTCGGGCCATGGAGCATGTGAAAGCACTTTTCTCCCCACTCGCAGTTGACATGGTGGAGCTGTCTATTCTGGAGGCGGAGGTTGCAACGCTGTTTCTGAATGCTTGGCGATATGTCGGCTTTGGCGCTGCCAATCAATTTTATCAAATCGCTGTGTCTAAGGGCCTAGACTTCGACAAAGTTCGCTCGGCAATCATGTATCGATATGAGCGTGCAGCAGGGTTTCCAACTTCTGGATTTACTGCTGGGCCCCACCTATTTCAAGACACAATGCAGTTGGCTGCTTACAGCAGGCACACCTTCTCTTTAGGCCATGCTGCGATGTTGGTGAACGAGACGATGCCTGACAGTGTCGTGGAGCAGGCACGAAGGCATCTCCGGAGTCAAGGCCGCACCTTGCAAGGCCTCAAATGCGGTATCCTGGGAATGGCATTCAAGCCAGACAGTGACGTTTGCTCTCACTCTCTTGCTTTCAGGTTGAAACAGCTTCTCCAGAGGGAGGGTGCATCTGTGGTGTGCTCTGATGCTTATGGGGCTCATATGGCTCCTGAATCCGGTGATGTTGCTGTCAGTGAAGAAGCTCTTTTGGAGTCTCCTGGCTTCAGAACGAGTTGTTTCAGTTCTGTTGGTCGCTTTGGAGGTTCTAGCCTTGCAGTTGTAAGCTCGCCGTAGGTCAAGCGATGCGATCTTCATTGGATGCCCTCACACGCGGTATCGCAGCCTTCCGCTCCAGCGCCATCCACTTCTCTTCGACTGTTGGGGCTTTGCTCGGCCACCCGAGCTGCAGATTGCCAAGGCAGAGGCAGAGGCTCAGAAATTTCTGAAGGTTGCTGTTGTCGGGGGTGCTGGTCATGTTGGGCTGCCGCTCTCGCTGGCCTTGGCCCAGTGTGGGCATGTGGTGACAATTCTTGACAAAGACTCGAAAAGGCTGGAATCAATCAAGGCAGGCAAATTTCCTTTTCTTGAAGCTGGCGGTGCTGCGTTGCTGCAGCACTGCTTGGACAGGTGTTCCGACCGATTGCTATTTTCGACATCTGTATCCGCCATACGCGAATGTGATGTCGTCGTGGTTACCATTGGAACGCCGGTTGATGAGCACTTGAATCCTTGCTTCCCAGTGATTCAGGACTGTGTAAATGAGCTCAAGCCGTTTCTTCGCAATGGGCAAACGCTCCTCTTGCGGTCCACGGTCTTCCCTGGGACCTCGTCCAGGGTCCTGGCCGACCTGCCTTTGGGGGTGGGGGTGAGCTTCTGTCCAGAGAGGATCGCTCAGGGCAAGGCCGTGGAGGAGCTGCGGAGCCTTCCGCAACTGATTTCAGGCTCGGATCAGCGGGCTTTGGTCCATGCCCAGGCCCTCTTTTCGCCGCTTAAGGTCGACTTGATCACTCTTGAGTTGCAGGAAGCCGAGGCAGCAAAGCTCTTTCTGAATGCATGGCGCTACGTCGCATTTGGCACAGCCAACCAGTTTTATCACATTGCCACTTCCAAAGGCTTGGATTTCGAGAAGCTTCGGGCTGCTATCGTGCACCGCTATCCCAGAGGCAAGGACTTCCCACGCCCCGGATTTACTGCTGGTCCCTGCTTGTTCAAGGATACCATGCAGTTGGCTGCCTATTGTCGGCACACCTTTTCCTTGGGTCACTCAGCAATGCTGGTCAACGAGACGATGCCGGATTGCGTCGTTGAGTATGCCAAGCGTGATCTTGACGAGCGCAAGCGCAGTTTGCAGGGAGCTAGATGTGGCATTCTTGGCATGGCTTTTAAGCCCGACAACGACGACTGGCGGGAGTCCTTAGCATTCAAACTTCGTCGTCTTCTGGTTTGGGAAGGTGCGCAAGTATTGTGCACGGATGTTCACTTGGCTCGCGATGGGTTCGTGGAGCTGCACAAGCTTCTGGAAGATTGTGAGCTGCTGTTTATGGGTTGTCCCCATTCTGAGTACAGAGGGTTGGTGCTTCGCGAGGGTCAAAGGATGTATGATTGTTGGGGTTTCTTCACCAGGCCAGCTCTGACAATTTTGAGTCCTAATAGGACGTGACTAAGTGTTTGTTTGCCCTCCGCAAGAGCTTTGTGAGGGTGCTGCAACCTGTTGGTGAAGAAAGGGGCCGTCTGCCTGCTGAATCGCGAAAGCTGAGAAGCGGAGCTTGGGTTTAGACTTGCCTCTGCACTCTCAGCAGACGCGAAGTGTCATTCATAGTTTCGCAGGAGCAAGTGTTGGGAAGCTGATGCGGGCGACAATTCAAATCCCAAATCAAGATCACACTATCGTTGGCCAAGGTGTTTCAGTCATTCACTCTATCAATCAAAACGCTTGACCGCATCTCACAGCTCTGTTTACTTCCAACTCCATGTGTTCAGCCAGTCGGTCGTGTCAAGTCTTGTGTTTAAGTCAGGTCAGGTCACGTCTAGTCAAGTCAAGTCTAGTCAGGCAGGCATTCGAGCAGTCCGGCACCCACTCGCCACAGTGACTGCAGCTTCAGCTGCTTCCCGCATCAGCTACCTTTCGTTGTCCATGGCCCGCCAGTAACACCTCTTAAATGCATTACAGGCACCGTCACATCTTGAGGTCGACACCAAACCGACGTCATCGGAGGCAGTTTCCAGGGGCTCGGGTATCTTCGGTTTGGTGATTCTGTCGCAGTGCAGTCGTGACTGCCCACATCCGATGGCCACAGGCTCCAACCCCATTCGCAAGCTTGTCGGAAGCTGAGTGGGCAGCATGTTGATTTGGCTGAGTTGTCAAGTCTTGATAAAGGACTTTTGCTGCCAGCACGGGTGGCCTCTTTGGCAACACTGCCGGTGGCCTTTTCTCTGGCCATCTCCCTAGTAGCGATTGGGAGAGGAACTTTGCAGTTGGCATATCACCTGAGAATCTCTGTTTGGCATTTTGGACAAGGCGGTGGCAGCCTTTTTGGAAACTCTGGCAATTCCAGCAGCTCTGGTGGTGGGCTTTTCTCCGGAAGCACTGGTGGTGCGACTGGCGGCCTTTTTGCTGGGCTGCCCGAGAGCTCCAGCGGCGGAATTTTTGGTGGCGGCAGCATCGCGACCACTGGCAGCAGCCTTTTTGGCCCGATGCTTACATCAAGTCGTGGAAGGTTTGACGCTTTCTAAAGATCGGGAGGTTTGGCTGCATCTTCGGGGAGTCTCTTCAGTGCCGCATCAGGAGGCCGCCGATATGCCTATGATCTCTTAATTGAAATTGCTTATAGTAGTTTTTCTAGACCAGTTATGTAAGCCCTTTGACAGCCCATGCGCGTTGTTGAGAAATTGCGTATTGGCTCATTGGCTCGGTGATTCGGCCCTTTGCAATGGCCGAGCCTCTGGCGCCGACGTTGCTCATCGCCCCGTGTGAGGATGAAGCGCCTTGTGAAATACCCAAATGGTGCTCGCCTCCTGATGGCCAGCTGAGCGATGCGGGTATCGAAATATGGCGGATCCCAGCTTCCGCAGCGCCAGAACCCATCATTCTAGGAAATCGTGCCTGGTTCCATTTTGGCAGGCGCCACATTGCAGCCACTGCAAAAGCTGGCCGTCAGCCAGATGTGGAGTTGCGCACACGCACGGCTTCCAGGAAGCAAGCCCTCCTTTTGCGAAATTGGCATGGCCAGGTTTTCATCATGGACATGGGATCATCGCATGGCACTTTTCTCGGGCATCAAAGGCTGCAAGCTCATGCAGTGAAGGAGTGGAAGCCTGGTGTCAGAGTTTTCTTTGCAGATCGAAGCACAGAGACTTTCGAATTGCTTCCTCGGCGACTGCGCCTTCCTCTCCTGAATCCGTCCCTCGGATCGCTTGAGCGCCCTGTTCACGATCGCGTGCATGGAGCAGCCCGGACAGGCGGCTCAACAATTGCTAAGTTCGTGGGGGCCAGACGAATGATGGGAGCACAGCTTGCTCAGGTGGCGCCCGATAGACCACAAGACCCTGGCGACTACCCGAGTCGCGATGCTCTGCACAGGACAGAGGCGGCGGTCATTTCACCGGAGCCTCCACTGTATCCAGGAGAATGGCAAGTTTCTGCAGATGGGCTTTCAGCGATTGGTTGGAAGCCGGGTGAGATGGAACGCGCAGCACGCGCAGCACGCGCAGCATGCGCAGCTTCGTCGCCTGAGGGCAAAAGAGCCGCCGAGGAGAGAGCTTCTGCCTCTGCAGCATTGCAGCGGCCTGTGCTGGCAGTAAGGATGGAGAGATCGCTACGCAGTCAGTTTGGGCCTGACATAGCGCGTAACCTGCATGCGTGGGGTGCCCACTACCCTTGCCCGGAGCATGGGCCAGGATGGCAGTTCAGTCTTTACACAAAAACCAGTGCCCCTTTCGATCCTGCCAGACCTGCAATTGTGTTGACTGCAGCTGTCATGAAACAAGAAGCACTCCATGTGGAGTGGCTCGCAAACATTCCGGCCATGAGGCTGCATTTGCGATTGACGGTTGCGCCGCCAGAGGTTGCTGAGCCCGCGCCCACTGGATTGTGGCAGCTGGACTTGCCACTGCCAGCAGAGGCGGAGTCAAAGGCTTCCGTGTTCCTTCCAAGCTCTCAGAAAGCCCGGCTGCCATTGAAATTCTTCGTCCGGATCTGCTGCACGGAGGCTCTGACCCACCGTGGCGTTCCCCTTGGCTTTGAGTTTGCTTCTTCTCTTTTTCCTCTTTCGTTGGGAGGTTTCTGGGCCATCGACCAATCCACCCTGGAAGCAGCATCAACTACAATGCTCTCGGGGTTTGAGTCACATGAATCACCCCACAATCTGCCTTCTGCCTGCACTTCTCCAGTGTCCCCGGGAACCGAGGGCATGCTAAGTTCGACGAGCTGTGCTAGTCATGCGAGTACACTGGTCGCCTCAAGTGACGTGAGCGGGCATGCGCATTTAAAGCCAAGTGGACAAAGCAGCGAACCCCCTGCAGAGCACGACCACCACTCGCCGCAAACAACAGCGGTTGAAAGCATGGGCGGTCGGCTGCAGCCTCCGCCGGCTAAAGTCCGAGGCAAGACGAGCATGAGGTGGGTGTCGAACAGAGAGTTCGTAACTAACTATTGCAAACGCTTCTTTGCTGAGCAGAGGAGCCGCAAAAGAACACAGGAACACTCATCAGATTCGAGCGAAGAGTGCCTTCCGTCCCATCGCAATTTTTCAGAGGAAGAGCTGATGAGCCTGTCTCCTGCTCAATTGTTGCGCTACATGCGACATGGAATCCGATCTCACGCGCTGACATCTCCAGATTTCAGAAGTGGCCGACTACGAGCAGCCTATTCCCAAGCTTTGGAACGGGTGTGTGCTGATAGCACGATCCAGAAGCGATCCCGAAGAACACGTCACTGAGCACTGTTTCACAAGTACAGACTTGATTCGCCGGGATTCACAGCATCAGCATCTGTCTTGCGGGCCAACACGGAGGTTCAGGAGCTTGGCGAACATCGGCCGAGGTGGACGTCGTGCCGGCGTCCATCTTGATTGAGCATGGCCGTCTTTTGTCATCTGACTCTGACCTCATCGGCGGTCACCCTTTCTCTGCAGGATCGACCACAATGCAGCATCTGCCTGACGCCACTTCGTCAAGACTGACTGACAAGCTATGCAGGATAAGGGTTGTAGGGTGTTCAGCTGTTCTAGGAGAACTGACTTCGACATGCATTCATCTGGTCGACCGACCGATTCTGCAGCTTCCGAAGACGCTGAGCGCAAGCGGAAACGGACAGATGGTGCGCATGGTGCGTTAGGGTGTGGGCATGTGGATGAGAGAGAGAGCTTGACACAGCACGTTGCAAGTCGCTGGAGGCATCCTGGGAGCAGCGTGGTCTCCTCACAACTTCAACGCAGCAGCTGTTGAGACGCCTAGAGTGGATGCCGAGCTTAGGGCGACGGGTGCAGCAGAGAAGGCTCCATCGACGGGCCTGTGCCGCCCGTGGATTCGTCGTAGATTCTGAGATTCTGATGGTCGGCCAATGGATGCTTGGATGTGTGCTAAGGTGGGCGGGAGCAACAGCCAATGGGGCCCAGGCGACTTTTCAAGTCAAACAGACTTTTGTGCTTGGTTTTGCACATAAGGATGACGAGCAGTATGTTCTTGAAGAAGAAGTGGGCGGCCGAGCATGATGTTGCAGGGGAGGGATAGATCGGCCTTCACAACGAACGAGGTCACGCAGATTCCTGGTTGGGCTCCCTCTGTCTCGTTGGAAGTCAGAGATCACGTCGAGACCGGTGAAGAGGACGAGGAGGCACCCGTTGACATGATGACATGTCGTTTGCGTGCGTAGCAGGTTCTGTTGCCCATCAGTGGAACGGACGTAGGGGCCGGGACAACGTGTGCATCTCTGATTGGTTGGCGAAGAGTTCTCTGAAGAATTAGCAGGATTCGGGACTTGCATGCCAGAAGTGTCGTTGACTGAATTGCATGAAGCGTAGAAACATGAGGTTCTTGCACACATCGACAACGCAGTGTTTCGAAGACGTGCGTACAGCCTGCTTTGAGTCTGAAGACCTGTGCGGCTTGTTGTTGGCCATTGTTGGCACGATTCAATTGTGTTTCTAGCCTTGACTCGGCTTTGGTGAGAGTGCTTGCTCTAAGCCGCCATAACCGCCTGAATTGTCCCGTAGGTCCTCGGGCTCAGGAGATGTACAGTCAGCGCTCCAAGCTCCTCCGGTTCGTCGACAATGAATGGAAGGAGCGGGGAACAGGCGATGCCAAAATTCTGAGGCTCCTTGGGCTTGATGCGGGTCCTTTCTGAAGCAAAACTCGGCCACTAGTGCGTTTGCATAAACAAGGCATGGGGGCACCGGCAAATGCCGGTTCCTGATGCGGCAAGAGAAGCTCATGCCTCAGAGAGGGCTTGATGCTATGAGGCCTCGTGCAGTTTTAGTTGGTTGAATTTTGAGTCCCCACGAGGACTGCAAAGATCGTCGCCAACCACTACATCATTGATCAACACCCATATTGCGTCCATGCCTCGACCATCCGTAGTCAATTGGTTAAGCTGGAATCTTTGTCTCCTTGTCCCTTGCGTGGTATCGAGGACTTAGTCCACAATGCTGGCAATGCCAAGATCTGGGCTTCGACCTCAGATCATTTCACATCCATGACTGTGACTGGCTCGCCTGGTTTAGATGGTTTATCGGCATGGGCCAGGTGTGGACTGCGCTGGACTGGGCAGATGAGGAGCAAAAGGATGGGCACTCCACTAAACTCACCCGAATCTTGCATTTGTCATGAGGCCTATCTCTAGTAAGCAGTTTTCTTGAAGGTGGAAAAGTTCGCTCTCCGCTTCAAGACAGAAGAATTGGCCGCCCGCTGTTTGTAGATCATGAGTTTTGCGCCAAGTGAGTTTGAATTGGCGAGGCCGACGAGTTTGCCAAGACTTTCAACGCAGCGAAGAGCAGCTGTCTTGGTTCCGAAGCCCGGCAAGCTGTCCAACGACTGAGACTCGCACCAGGCGGTGAGATGGCAAGTGTTTGCGACCTGGGTTTGCACGAAACATGTGATATGGCAAGTGAGCGGGGCAAATGTTGTGTCTGGAACAGATGTTGTGTCTGAGGTCGGTGACGCGCATCGCTCTCGGCCACTCGACGTTGTTGTCGCTAAGCAAGGACCGAGCTTCCGAGGCAAGATGACGACGACTGGGAGAAGGCCTGGAACTGCTGCAAGGTAAAGCAATGGGACATCCTTCTAGCAGGAGGAACTTGAACTTGGTGCACAAGTCAAGAATTTCGTTGAACACGAGTTTCATGGTCTGCGATTGGGACATGTGTCGTTCGATCAGGAGCGCAGACAAAAGTAAAACGTTTCAAAACTGTTTCGGTCCGGGCAGCGCCCCAACAGAGCTATGGCCGAGAGTGCTTGGCAGTGGGTTTTGTTGGCTTCACTGTGGCTGGCGATTTTTTCCGTGGCATGTGAGTGCCAACAAGCTTCACCTGCATGCAGTGTGGATGCAATGATACAGCAAGCGCTGATGTAACGATATCTGATAATTTGAATGTTTGAAGGTCGACATGCCCAGCTCAGGCTCTTCTCATGCGGAGTGCTCGACGTTGAGTGGCGATTGCTGCCCTACTGTGGCTGGCAAGTTCCTTGACTGCTGCAGCCAGGCAGGAGAGAGTATTGCCAACACTGTGCTCGTAGCGGCGTACAAGAGTGCCCAAATCCAAGCCAGACCCGAAGAATCAGAGCAGGCCGCATCATTATCGACACCTGCACCGTCTGCTGAAGATGCCGGAGCTCCGAAGTCTGCCTGCAAAATGTACCTCCAGGCTCCGGGTTCAACTTGTCACGGAGGGAAGACGTAACACACGCGACATCTTCGCAGCTGCAGGCGAAGGGCTTCGAATCAGCAGAAGGTCTGGCGAAGAAGCTTCGGCGATGCGAAGCGGAAACCTCGAGAAGCTTCGCCCCGAGGCCAGAAGCAGACATGCCTGGCGTTTCAGAGACTCGGTGAAGCAAGCTGGGGACAGAGAGCAATTGCACCATAAGCTTTTCCCCGAATATCTCACAATTAAGGACACGACCAATTTGCAGTGCCAGCGACGCATCTTCAAGGTTCAGCAAGCCGTTCAAGCATAGTTTCAAGTGTGCTCGTTGCAGTTTTGCCTTTGCTTCGGTTTTCTTGTTTGCCGTGGCGACCCTTCATTTTGTGGGACCTCGCTGGCCAAGCAGGTAGGGCTCTGTAACCCAGGATTACAGCTCGTTGTGGTGCCCGGCTTTCACAAGGCAGTAAGTCCCGATCGCTGCAAGTGTTCTCCGCCTTCTTAGGTATGTATCTTCGCTGAATGCGCGCTCAAGCTGCTGTGGTTGGAGACCTCATTTCAATTGGGTGGTCGGAACCTGTGAAAAGAATTATCGAATTCCGAATGCCTCATTTTGTGATGGTGTTCCTGACTGCGCTCGAGAACCCAAGATAAACTATGCAGCTGCGCCTCGGCTCCACAGGCATGTTTCACAATGCAAGCGGCTTGTTGGGTTGATGTTTCTCTCCTTGTGTCGCTACTGGATGTGTTGCTGCACTGTGAAATTGTGTTTTTGATATGCGCGGTTATTGTTTTGTAGCAGGTACAGCTTTCGTGCTCTTTATTGAAGGCCAGCAGAAGGGAAGGGTAATTGTGCATGTCGTGAGCAGCTAGAAAGATGTTCACCAAAATTGGATTGTCGCAAACAAAGGGGACAGCGTTTCGATTCTCCGGCTTCTTGGCTTCTGGGCTTTGCTGTTCCGGATCAGCTTGCTGGCTTTTCGGCCGTTTGTCTCGATTTGTTTCTACTTCCGGCTGAGGAATTTTGGTCGTTGGTCACGCAAAGCAACACAAAATGAAGAAAAGGAAGGAAGGACAGAAGGAAAGGAAGGAAGGAGAACGTAGCAAGGAAGGATGGATCAAGAACGGAGGGGACGTGCCTAAGTTCTCTGCAGTGTAAGCAACGAGCAAGATGTCTGACCCAATGCTGAAAGCTGCGGTTTCTCTTTCTCAAATGTGGGACCCGGCGCACCAGTATTCGATGTTAGATTTGTTGAATCCAATGTTTGCAGGTGTATTTTAGCCTCTATGGCCACCGTCGACCACAGCCCCGAACCTGCGCCGACATGATTGCATGCATCGGAGACAGGTCCGGTCATTTTTCTGCCATGTGTTTCAAACACATGCTGTGAGAACAATTGCCGCCTAGGCATACCAGTTCAATGGCAGCCACTTTGTCTTACAAGATTCGTCAACAGCTGGGGAGTTGTCAGAGGCAGGAGTTTCAGGTTCATACGACGCCAGGACTGGGTGGGAGTCGACCAAATCTCGCTTTCGCTGGGAGGGCGGCGAAGGTGATTGGCCAACCAAGTATGCACCATGGGGACTTGGTGACAGCGGCCCTCGTGGCCTCACCCCACCGGCTGCACTGTGGGTGCTGAGTGTCGACAGCTTCTATTACGGCACCTTGTACATGCTGTCACAGCTGACGCTTAACACACAAGGCGTTGGGGAGCATGCTAATTGTTGGGAATGGGAGTTCGATGCAATCGAGGGTCTGATTGGAACAGTGCCGCGGGGACATCCTTTGCCAGGCAATATCAACCAGCTGTACGTCACGGCCACAGCACAAGTTAGCGGATGCATGCCGATGCCAGGCACAGCTGCACAGGACAACGGCTATGCGAGACGGTTTTCACAGCCGCAAAACTTTCAATCCTTTTGTGAGCAGAACCCGTTGGCAGTGGGCTGCCGACCATGGACTTCTGAGGGTGCAGATATTTGGCATGGTGGTGGCTATCGTGGCACAGATCGATTCGAGAATGCTGAGAACACGCCATATGTCTTTGCTGTGGCTGGCGCCTCAGAAGTAGCCGCTCGCATTTCTTGTGACGACAGATGTAGCGAAGAGAAGAGGATGCAATGAGCATGCTCAGATCAAGGTCCTTGACCATCAAGGTTTTTGGGTTTATCGCTGGAAGCCCGACGTTACCGGTGAGACTGGGTGGCCTGGAATTTCTCGGACCAGTGCAAAACGAGTTCTCCCGAAGCGGCCTCACAGGGTTTCCGATTCGACCGGGTTGCAGACGAACGTAAAGTCCGATGTCCGTGAAGCTGTCATTCTAATCCCCAGCTTGCCACCGGAAGCTTCTTGCATGCGGTCGCTGCCAGAACAAGTAGATTGGCGTTGGGGTGCTGCTGCCCTGGGATCCATTGCATATGAAGCCGGCGAATATAAAATGGGTGACAAGCTTCAAGGAGCGCAGAATTGGTGGGCTCACTTCGTGGATACAGGACAGCTACAAGACTACCCTCTGTCCATAGCTGGAGTCCCCTCCACCGAAGAGGAAGCTTCACGAGTTTGTGATCGACGCGACAAGTTCGGCAAAACGTGCAGTTGCGATGCCACCTCCCAGGATTCTGCTTCACCAAGCCATGCTGCATCACCGGGTTCCGAGGTCGGTCTTATGATTCAGACACTTTGGCCTTTGCGGAATGCCAACAATACCCAACTGGAGCGATAACCTGCCGACCAGCATCAGATGGCGCTTGCTCGTTTGGCATTGACCTGTGCGTGCACCGCCCAACATGCGAGGACCGCAAGGAGCTTCGATGGACTTGTACAGCTTGTCCCCTGAAGTGGGGCTCATCCTTGGCTCCCGGGCCCAGGCTCTCTTCATATTCCTTTTGTTGGTGGCTCTGCAGCTGCCCTGGTGTGGCGTTCGAGTTCGAGCTCATCGCAAGCTCCAGCTCTAGACTTCTAAGCCATCTAAGCCATCGCTATGTGAAAATTGGATTCGTGCAAAGATGCAGATGCCTCCGAAGGAGGGCTCATACGCTCATACGCCACTTCTCCTTAAGTCACGAAAGGCCGAGGCAGAGGCTTATGGAGCCGGCGCTTTGGGCGAGGGCCCGGGTCTGGCGGCGCTTGCGGCGATGCAGGCTGGCTGACCTCAGGCTTAGCCGTGGCTTAGCCCTGCAAAGCAGGCGCTTTGTACAGAGCTCTTGAAGCTTGTGAGACCTCGGTTCAGGCAACTTCTGGCTGGCGCTGTGACGGCTGTCGATTGCAGTGGTCCGAACAGGCTTGCATAAACACGGCTGCATGTGCACTTAGCCCGAAAATGGAATTGTCGATGGCAGGACTTGGAGTGCAATGTTTGCGAGATTGTGCGGCCTGGATATGAGTCCGAGGCCGCGGCCAAGATGTTACAAACCGCACTTGCAGAATTCATGTTTGTGCTTCACTTTGAGGTTGCGGCAGCAAAGGCGGAGAAGGAGTCGGGCAAGCCAGGGCCCTTACTCCAATTTCTGATGATTGGAGAAAAAAATATTCAACAGCCGGAAACTAGTGCGAGGTGAGAGTCAGAGAGCCGAAAAAGCCGGAATTCTGTCAGGCAGAGCGCCGTGTCCGCCTTCCTGGGAACAACTCAGATCCTCGGCTGTTGAATGTATCGGGGCGAATGAAAGGACGGCATCCTGTTAATGAGGTCCAGCGGGAGTGGAAACTTCGCACAGTTCCTCGGATTAAAGTAAATGGAAGAACCTCTGAGCAAGTCAGCGGGGCCGCTTGAGAGGTCTTCGAGCTCGACTGCAACCGGCATTGTGTGGCTCTGCAGAGCATATGTAGCCAGGGATGCTAATATCAAAGTCTTAATCCAAAGTGCTTGCGCTTGCAGGTTTGGTTTCGGTTCTGCAGCACCTACTGCAGCATCCGCTGCCTCGGCCCGGAGCTTGCGGAAAGTTGAAAGAAGTCATTAGCATGTGACGCAGGAAGGAGCTTTCGTGACTGTAGCCGATCCAACTAAGTGACAAGGAGTTCTGACGCACCCGACAGCATGAAATGCTGATGCAAACAAGCTACAGGTGACGGTAGAAGCCAGGGTTGATAGGACTTGCAAGTACTCTCACCCACTTCAACTGGCTTGTAGGCATTCTGTTGGTCAAGGTCTGCAGTCCGGCTCCTCCGAGTAAGGTGACAACAAGGCTTCGTATGCGAGTTTGTTCAATGCATAGCCGAGGCGCAGCCGAGTCCTTCGATTTTTGGAGCCAACCCGTCTTCGGTCTCCATTTTCGGCTCATGCCCTGGGCTCGCCGGTCTCTGGGACCTTGGAGAAGCCGCGTTGCGTGGGTCAGGCGGCAGCACTTCCACCTTCGATGCTTCGTGCAGCTCAGGCTGGAGTTTAGGAAGTGACTTCTGCTTCAGACCAAGCTGCAGCTTGAATGGGCCAACGAGCTCATTGTTCAAGCAGTTCCAGCGGCCAGAATTATTTCGCGGCGGATTCTGGCTCAAGACTGTGTTGCGGCTAGAAATGGTTGAGCCAGAGAATCCCGATGCTGCGGATGATGAAGAAGAAGACGATGAAGATGAAGACTGCGTTGACGATGAAGGTAGCTTTTGCTGTTAGCAAGGGGATGAGCAATGAAGGCTTAAGACGTCTTTAGACTTTTTGGATTTGGGCCGCTCTTTTGGCGAGCATGTGCAAGTGTTGCATCCGTAACTCCTCCCTTCCTCACAAGCTCACATGCAGGAGTTCAGGAACACCTCAAGGACGCCATCCACGGTACTTTGAAGCTGAAGCGGCTTCTCAGACACTTGCCCACTATGTTCTGGCAGGGCAGGTTTCAGTAGTGCTTGATAGAGATCAGATTTGGCTTGTGTGTGGCCTCAGGTGAGGATGGAGATGCGTTTCAGAACAAGGGTGGCTCCGTAAAGAAGCGGAAGACAGTAGAAAGATGCGGACCCGCAGAGCAAGCAAATGCCGCTGGCTCGGAACTGCAGATTGTGTGCGGTGTCTAACTGCGTCTTCCCTCAAAGGAGTAGACGGAGAAAGCAGGCAGTGCCACTGCAGGCTTTGGCATTGCAACAAACCAGTTGCTCGACCCATCAGCAGCCATTATGCTGACCGGCTGACCCAGCCTGTCAGGACATCGGTGCGGCTCAAAATCGTGATCACTGCATGCATGTTCGGCATTGGGAGCCGTGTCGACAGAACACAATGCTAGTCCGAAGTCCAAGTTCAAATCGTTGAGCAGCTGAGGCTGCTTGCCGCTCTAGTGCAGTGCCGGGCGTATTCCCGGCAGGGTCATGTGTGCTCGCGACAAAGCCATGCATGCTACTATAGGTCGTGCTGACCACTTCCGAAATGGTGTCGCTTTCCGCTGCCGTCCGTCGTTCGTGTCCCTGCGAAAGAAGCATGCCTCCGTTTAGGTCTACTAGCTGAAGTAGCAGACGCAAGTCAAAGGCAGAAGCACGAGAGCATAGATGAGCCGTGTTCTGTTCGCAAACACTCAAGTCACATGCTGTCGCCATTCTGTTTTTTTGAGTCGGCTTCCAACGTGGAATGAATGTTTTAACGATCCGGTGCTCGGCACCTTGTCACGATCCGAAATCATGCGCCTTGTGAAAAGTCTCGTGGAAGCGTCCAAAGTGTTGGGGCCAAGTGGAGCTGGAACGGTCGTTGCGAGCTCGGTTGAGGATTCGGTTTCCAATGGGTTGGCAAACTGCGTGCAGCACTGCATGCTTTGCGGTGGGAAGCTCCGGGCGGCCTTAGTGCATTCAGGCATACCAAGACGCCGTCAGACTGAGGTTACACACCTCTTGACGAAGTGGGGCGCCGAAGATGACGTGCTATTGAGGCCAATTCAGACTCAGGAGCCTGCAGGGCACCTTGCTGGCTCATGACAGGCATGTCCTCGAGGGCTTGAAGCTTGAAGAGCTTGAAGCCCTGAACACCTCCGGCTACTTACCGGACAAGTTCAATGCCTGGAAATCCTGTGCTGCCGCCCGGCTAACGGGCATATTGATTGGCACTGGGCCTGATGTGACATGTTCGTTTGTGCATGTGGGTATACGTTTATGCACCGGCTCAGAGGGACACCAATGCATGTGAGTGTGTGTATTATATGTAAATGCGTATAATAGTATGTGTTTAGTTATTTGTGAAAATGTATATGCACATATTTACGTGATATAGTCCTGGCAAAATTTGGGGAACGCTTCGCCTGGACCCGCCAAAGGTTTGCATAGAACTGCCTGTACAAAATTAAAGCCTTGCGTAGAGAAGAGGCAGGAAAGACTTCTTGAGCAGTGCGTTAGTACAGGGCCGTCTGTACATGGGGCACAGCCGCGTAAAACCGTGCTTGAAAATGGGTAAGCCCTCTATCATTCTGTTAACAATATGGCGCCTAGTGACCTCTGGTAGAGGCGAAGAACTGTCGGTCTGCAGTGTTTTCCGTCAGATACTGAAGCCTCCTGTTAGACATGAATATTCCGCTGGATAAGGTTGCAAGCGTTCGTGTTTGTTTTGGTGAGTGTTTGTTTTTGTGTGCTCGTGCATTCGTACATCCGTGCATACAATGACAGGCATACATACCTGTTTACAGGTCGGTCTTTCATGTATTTCAGCGCAGTCGATATTCTGGACAAGATTGCAGCGGCTCTGGTACGAATGTATGCGCGTATGTGTATATGTGTGTGACCGTATGTGCAAAAGTGCATGTGTGTTTGTATATGTATATATATATATACATACATGGTATGCACATGTAATTACACAGAAGCACAAACACAATACTTGCACATATACACATACCATGCTGACATGCAGGCATATATATATATATAGTTCTACATGTGTATATGCATATACACGTAATTGTAATAATAGTAAGAATGATAGCTTTAATTATAGCAATAGTAACAAATAGATAACTAATCATGTATGTATATATATATGTGTGTGTGTATGTATGTATGTATGTACGTATGTATGTATGTATGTATGTAAGTGTGTAAGTATGTAAGTCATTATGTAAGTAAGTAAGCAAGCAAGTAAGTAAGCAAGCAAGCAAGCAAGTAAGTAAGTAAGTAAGTAAGTAAGCAAGCAAGTAAGTATATAAGTAAGTAAGCAAGTATGTATGTATGTATGTATGTATGTATGTATGCATACACCACACATGGATATCCACATACATCATGCACACATACATACCTACATGCGTGCATAGGGACACATACACAGGCATGGAAAGTGTGTCGATGTATGTGTGAAATGTGTGCGTGTGTGTTTTACAGACTCGTCGCTTCACCGAGCTCACATTCACCGAGCTCACACGCCCAGGTCACACTTTGTTTCAAGTGCACACTGCACATCTGCCGATCTGCATCAGCATGATACCATTACGGCTGGCAGCCGTGCGCTGTGTGTATCTGCATGTGTGTACATGCATTGCTGCTTCTTTGTTCGTCGCAGCGAGTCAGTCGGCCTGTCGGCATGTCTGTTTGGGCGTCTCCGCGTCTGCACGTACACGTCTCTGCGCGCGGGTGTGTGTGTGTGTGTGCGTGCGTGCACGTGCGCGTGTGACTGTGTCTCTTCCTGCCTTTGTGCGTGCATATGTGAGCGCGTGAGCGAGCGAGGGAGTGAGTGTGTCTGAGCGGTCTTGCGTGTATGCGTGCCTTTATGTTTGTGTGCATTCGTGTGTGCATGTGTGTGTTGGTGTGCATGCTGTGGGCGTGGCTAGGTAAGGATGCGAAAGCCAGAGAAAGAGAGCAAGAGAGAGAGAGAGAGAGAGGCAGTCCCCATGCCCCGAGCAAGCCAGCAAGCAAGAGAGGGCTGCCTACTTTGCAAGCCGTCCAAGCCCCGGAGCAAAGCACAGAGAGGGAGAGAGAGAGAGAGAGAGAGGCGCGCGGGCAGGGGGGGCAACCCCTCTGCCTCTAGCCCTGCTGAAAGAAAGAAAAGAGAGAGAGAGAGAGAGAGACCGCAGGACCATTGCACATGCGCACAGGTGCGCCACGAGTGTGCTGCACTTTGGCTGAGTGGAAGGAGGGAAAGGGAGGGAGAGAGTACCGAAGTCAACCCCCAACGAGTCCATTCGGCCTGGGCCTGAGTGTTGTGCGTGCAGAGGTCTATGTTACTGGTAATGCAAGTTTCTCCAGCTGCCCCGCCCGTGCCGAATCATGTGCAAGCGCAGGGGGGATCAGCAGACATGCCGTTGCCGAGAGAATATCTCCACAGTGCACCGGTGCATACGGGTGGTTTGTGCGTTTGTCTGACATCATACATTGTCTTATGGCTGGAGGGAGAAGCAAAACCTTTCGTGCACAGCAGAGTCCTCCGGTGGAAAATCCGCGGAGGGAAACCGTGAGACACCCGGGGTCCGCAGGTGCGCGTGCGCGCGCGGGGGCTTGGGACTGGACGCTTCCCGAGTCCCCCCACCTGGTAGAGAGAGAGAGATAGTTGGATGGCCCAGCAGAAAGATAGTGGATGGGGCAGCTCGACTGAGCGGGCTGAGGGGTCTGCCCTCAGCTCAAGCCCCAAGCAAAGCAAAGAAAAGAGAGGGGGAGAGAGACCCACTCTGTAATGCTACTCATGTTGCTTGTAACGGGGCATGTTGACCTTCGTAGTAAAGAATAGTTCACCCTTCCATGTAAAGCATGTGTCCTGTGAGAATGTACGATCGTTGTC